GAAACTTTTGCTTTTAAGACCATCAGAATTTCCCAGTGTGTGAAGGAGCCTTCTCATGTCTAACACTGGAGACAAGGCACCGGCAGCTTCCATATTCTGAAGAGTCTAGAATTTGACATAAAGATATTCCTGTGACTTCCCCTCTTCCCTTTCTACGGAACTCTCCCTTGTCCCTATCTACTACGTGTGTGTGTGTGTGTGTGTGTGTGTATGTGTGTGTGTGTGTTTTAGGTTTATGTATTTATTTGAAAGGCAGAGTTATAGAGAAAGAGTTTCTAGCTGTTGTTTCACTCCCCAAATGGCCACAACAGCCCAGGCTGGGCTAAGCTGAAACTAAGAATCTTTTCCTTGTCTCCCATGTGGTGGCAGGAGTTCAAGAACTCAGGCCATTCCTATTGCTTTTTCTGGTGCATTAGCATAAACTTGGATTGGAAGTAGAGCAGTGGACAAAAACTGGTGCCCATATAGGATGCTGGCATTGCAGTTAGTAGCTTATTCCACTATGCCACAGCACTAGGCTCTGGGCTGTTGCTTTATTTCCTGCATTATGCTTGAGTGAATTGAAGAAAGGAAGCACAATGATTTAAATTCAGTCTCAGCTCCCCCATCCCAAGTTTTAATCAAAATGGGGTACCAGGCACAGGTTGAGCAACCTTGGTCATGCCATCTCAGTTGTCTGTACATTCACAAATATTTTTCCAATAAATAGCACTTGAGCAAGAACTATGTGCTGGTATGTCAAAGAGATGGCTTACTTGGGGCCTCAGCTTCTCTGTAGACAAAGATGCAGCCAGACAGCTGGTTTTCAGCTGCAGCACTGACTCTAAGCCCGTATTTATTTATTAATTATTCTTCCCATGATACAGATGTATAAGTATAGGAACTCATTACTCCCTCTCCCTATAATCCTCTCCTATTATCTGAGATCTCCCCCTTGTGTGGCAGGGGCCTAAATCTTTCACCCCCTCCCAGGTGTGTTATCAGGGAGCTGGATCAGGAATATAACTGAACAGGAGCTTGGACTAGAACTCCAATGTGGAATGCCATTGCTGCAGTAGTGGCTTAACTTGCTGGACTACAACAATGGCTTCACTCCTTTGGTGTTTACAGACTTTTTTTTTTTTTTCAAGAATTTCATCCCAATCAACCCTAATTAGTTGTAACTCCCCTTGCAAAGTCTTTGTCACTGGTACTGGTGAACACTCAGATGCAGTTGGATGAAGTAATGAATTCTTAATGATTATCTAAGTGGTCATTCTTAGCAATTCTTAGGGATTATCAATAAATTGGCCCTCCTTCCCCTGCTCCTCAACCCCTCTCATGCCCCATTGACGTTTGGATTATTTGACTTCTTCTAAGCAGGCATTATTTCTCAATGTGGAATTACTAGCCACAGAGTCACAAGGGATCTTCAACAAGTTCATAGAAGATGCTTAATATATATCTAAAATAACTTCATAGAGTCTAAATTTTCTGTCCCAAAATAAGGTTACCTTTCGTTCCCTTTACCAAGATTGTTCTGTGTGGTGCTTGGCTTTTATGGAAGCATTATATTGCTGAGGATACTTGTGGAATTATTTATGACATTATTTTACTTCCTTAAGACAAGGGAAGACTTCCTCTCTCTTTTTTTTCTCTGCATCTGTAGCTCAAGTCAACACTGCATGTGCTAGAGAAAACCAAAGGGGCAGCTGCAGCTCCTCCTTCCTCTGCCAGTGCAATACCAGCCTGCTTTAGGCAGTGATCATGGCAGTGACCATGATGATGATGAAAACTATGACGCCTGGGGAGAAAAGTATTAGTCCCATTTTACAGATGAGGAAACCAAGGTTCAGAACTAGTGAGGTGACTGCCCCTCAGTCACACAGCAACGAAGTAGCAAAGGCAGGATTTACTTCTGGTTCTGACTCAAAGCCGGGTATCTTTCCTTCAAGCTACACCACACTCCTGAGGTGGATGCTCAGGGATTCAGGGCTGGGAGCCTTGTGGGAGCAGCAGGTCTGTCTAGTTCTGCAGGACTGAGTTGTTTATCATTGCGAGGACACTCATCACTGCGCTAATTACATTAATTGCTGCCCACTCTGTGGCTAGGTGGGTGGTTTAACAACACTTAGCAACGTGGTAATGATGCCTGGGCCTGCCTTTCTGCCTGAAAACATCTGACATTTTTTTTTAAAGCTCCTTCCTGTGGTGGCCAAAGATGGTAATTATGGGTTCTCTGGGTTGGAAGTTAGCAACTCTGTATCCTGTAGGGGAAAGGTCAAGACTCAACTTTGCCCTCCATCAGCCTCTCAGTTGGAAGGAGGAGGGAAGCATGAGATTTATGAAGCATCAGCGGTGAGCTTGTCTTAGTTAAGCATCTCTTATAGTTCTCGCCATTGCTCTGAAGTGCGTACTATTATCCTTACTTGATTTTTGAGAGAGCCCATCCACTTGCTTGGGATGCTGGAACTAGGAAGGGGATGGGAACAGGCCTATCAGTGGACATACTGACTTCTACAAGCCTCCTTGTGCCACAGCATGTCTCAACAGGAGATTTGCTCTTTCAGACACTTGGGGCTGTCGAGAGAATCAGTAAAGCATCAGAAAAGGAGCTTTGTGGTGTCTCTGTTGCTGAAAGACTTGGGATCTGAAACTCTCCATCCTCCACTCCTTCCCTGGTCTTCTGAAGGAAATAGTTTTATAGTCAACATTTTAAGATGTCACTTGACAGGTCTGGCACAATGGCTCAATTGGCTAATTCTTCCTTTGCAAATGTCAGGATCCTATGTGGGTGCCTGTTCATATCCGGGCTACTACACTTCCTATCCTGCTCCCTGCTTATGGCCTGGGAAGGCAACAGGATGGCCCAAGTGGGCACCTGGCTTTGGATTAGCGCAACTCCGTTTGTTGCAGCCATTTGGGGAATGAACCACGGATAAAAGATCTTTATATCTCTCCTTCTCTCTGTAGATCTGCCTTAATAATAATAATAATAATAATAATAATAATAATAATAATAATGTCATTCTACGACCACATCTGTCTACTTGTTAGGAGTGGACAAGATGGCCTTGGCATTTCATCATAATTGAGTAAGTGACTTAATGTCCAGAGATCCAGATAACTGCAGATAATTTAGGAAGTAATTGACTTTGGAATGTTGTGTGCTTTATGGGTGTGTTCTTATGTGTATGTGTAAGTGCAGCTGTCAATAAATGTGGTGTGTGTGTTCCCCAGGAAGCCTTAGGGTACTAATGTGTTTAGATGACTTGGCTCCTTTTAGCTCTGCCTATTTATCAATGAGGCTTAAAGTGCATTTTACTAGAGCTGAAAACAGCTGTTTGAAGTGATGGCACAGGGTGGTGGTTAAGACATTAGAAGCCAGACCAGGCTTTGAATCTTGATTCTGCCACTTGCTAGCCGCTATGAGTTGTGCATGTTACTTAATGTGCCAGGCGTCTGTCATCTCGTTTCTAACATCAGGCCTGCTAAGAGTTCTGACCTCATGGGGTTCTTCTAACTCAGCAAGATTTTTGAGGGCAGGAATTTTGTCTTTACATTTTTCTGTACCCAACCAGAACGAAGTTTGGAAAAAATAGGCTTTGCATTTAGGTAATGCCTCAGCTTTGATTCCAATACTCCCACATTAGCCATGTGACCTTAGAGAAGTTACCTTTTCTGGGTGTCAGATTCATTATTTACTCAATAGAAGTCTACCATTTTTTTTTTCTTTTTAAGGATACATTTATTTTTATTGGAAAGGCAGACCAGTTTTATGGAGAGAAGGAGAGATAGACAGAAAGATCTTCTATCTGATGGTTCACTCCACAGATGGTTGCGATGGCCAGAGCTGAGCTGATCTGGAGCCAGAAGCCAGGAGCTTCCTCCAGGTCTCCCATGTGGGTGCAGTGTCCTGAGGCTTTGGGCTGTCCTTGACTGCTTTTCCAGGCTACAAGCAGGGAGCTGGATGGGAAGAGGGACAGCCAGGACACGAACCAGCACCCATATGGGATCCTGGCACTTGTAAGGTGAAGATTTAGTCATTGAGCCACCATGCTAGGCCCCTACTATTCTTTACACACACACACGCATACACACAGTTATTTTTCATTTTTTTGGAAAAATGGAGAAAGGCACTGCTAGTTTATTCCAAAAACACCTACAACTGCCAGGCATGGGCCAGGCAGAAACCAGGTACCCAAAACTCATTCCATGTTTCCCATGTCAGTGGCAGGGATGCAAGATCATAGACTGTCACCTGCTACCTGAAGTAGCAGGAAACTAGAATTGGACGTGGAACTGGAACTTGAACCCAGGCACTCTGACTTGAAATGTAAGCATCCCAAGAAAAGGATCTCAAACATTGTGCCTAAAACTTGACCTGAAGTTATGTTTTATTTGAGAGATCCTTTGTCTCTTAGTTTGCTCCCAAATGGTTGCAATAGCCAGGTCTAGGCCAGACTCTATCCAGTTGTTCCACATGGGTTGTATTTAGGTCACTTTTTGCTGCATTCCCAGGTGCATGCATGGGTAGGGAGCTGGAAGGAAAGCTGGGTAACCACAATTCCAACCACTGGGATATGAGATGCCTGCACTGCTAGCAGTGGACTGTGCCACACACCATTTCCATGCTGATCATTCACACAACTTTTCCATGATAAGGTGAGATGTGTGAAGGCCTGGGACAGCAGTTAGCACATAGGAGATCACCAGTAAAAATTGGCTTTTTTTTCTTAAAAGATTCTTTTCATTTTTTTTTAAATTTTTATTTTTATTGGAAAACCAGATTTATGGAGAGAAGAAATGACAGAGAGAAAGATCTGTCTGCTGGTTCACTCCCCAAGTGGCCACAATGGCCAGAGATGAGCTGATCCAAATCAAGGAGTCTCCCCTGGGTCTCCCAAGTGGGTGCAGGGTCCCAAGGTTTTGGGCCATTCTCAACTGCTTTCCTAGGTAACAAGCAGGAGCTGGATGGGAAATGGAGCAACTGGGACACAAACCGGTGCCCACATGTGATCCCGGCACATGCAATGTGAGGATTTATATACTACACTATTGTGCCAGGCCTAAAAGTTGACTTTTATCCCCTTTCCCAATCCTAGTGTCTTTCAGTTGGGAATTAAGGATGGAGTTCTAGCTTCACGTGTAAAGCATGTTCATTTCTGTAAGACTTCGTTTTTCTTCTCCTTTTATTTTCTTCTCTCCCTATCTCTGTGCTAGGATTTCTCTCCCCTTTTTGCTCAGCTACCAGGTTCTGTTCCAGGACTTTGCAGCAGGAGCTACCTTTTGCTTGATTCTACAGGTAGGGCCAGCCTTCCCTAAACCCACTCCTTCCTACTGCCCTCCGTCTTGCTCCATCCATTGGCCTCTTGTCATACTCAAGAGTCATTTGTGTGTCTTGCTGTGGTCTACCGGGCTTCATGGGAACCTTCTGGCAGACTTGCTGGCCTTCTGATCTCCCCCAACAGTCTCTCCACTTCTCAGTGTGTGGCAGTCTCAGGGGCCCCTGGTCTGTTGCTAGAACTTTCCAAGTAAGTTCTTGCTTCAGATATTTCACACATGCGCTCTTCTCTTGCTCCAGGTTTTGGAAGAATTCCTTCTCCCCCTTCCTCAGGCCTGAGTCCACATGCCTCCTCGGAGAGGTCTCCCTTGATGAGCTGACGCAGAACAACTGCAATCCTGCCATTGCTCCATTGTTCTTCCTCTTACTGATAGTGCCGTTCTGCACGTTCATGCATTTCCTTTTCTGCTGTCTCTGCTGAGTAGAATGTAAGGTGACTCACAGCACATTGTGTCCTACTTCCTGTTGGGTCCCCTTAGCCCGGTGCATAGTAGGTGTGCACTACATAGTTGCTGGATTTAGCAATGTGTGTGGCCCCTCTTCGAAATGGCTGGGAAGCACCCAGTTAGATGGGCCAGGTGATCCCAGGCCAGGGAGGCTTACCGAGCAGTGTTCATCTTACCCTGAGAGACAGTGAGGAGGAGCCTAGGGTGGTTGGCCCAGAGCTGACTGTGTCACTTATGCACCTTCAGGGCCAAGGCAAGCTCATCCATGATAGCCATACGTCGCAGCTGCAGTGGATGTGTCTGTGCTCACGCCTGTGCTGTAATTACAGTGTAGTCTAGAATTCCCCTGGCAGCCTTACCATATGATTAATTTTGCTCATACAGGTATGTATTGATCACAGATAAAGATCTCTCTGGGTTTAAATTTAGCACCACCATAACAAAATGAAAGTTAGTTATGCTGTCTCATTGTTCTCAGAGTACGGACGCAAACATACAGTGACTGTGTGTGCTGAATCACTCCTCTCCATGGGTTCTCTGCCTCCCTCCATGCTCTCTGCTCTGGCTCTGTTCTGTCAGAGCCCATGGTAGCATCAGGAAGTGAACGATAACTCTGGCACTGCTAGATTCTAGCCTCATGGCACCACTTAGACCTTGTGACATCACAGGAGGTTCCATCACCTACATGCACTGTTTCCTGCTCTGAAAAATAAGCCCATCTGAAGAACAAACAGATGTGCAGGAACATGTTGAAAGAAAAGAAGGGGAGGCCAGCCCTCTCCTGCTAGTGCTGACTATGCCTCGCCTTGCTTTGGTCTAGCTCTGCCATTTAGGATAGGTTATCTGGCTGGGGCATTTGATCGAGGCGTTTTAGAGCCTGGACCTTATAAAGGTTTTCATAAAGGTCCCACTGTGTGCATGGTGAGGTTGACAATCCAGGGACCTCTGGGTCACCTGGTGGTTCATCTAGTTGGTGAGGGACTCGGATATCACTGGTCTTTGTGTCCTGTGGCTACTGGCACGAAGTGCCATAGGCTTGGTGATTGCTGTCCACAGAAATTATCCCCTTCCACTTCTAGAGGCCCTGAAGTCTGAGGTCAAGCTTGTGCTATGCCCCTCGAGGCCACCTCAGTTTGCAGTAACTCCTGCTGTTGCTTGCTGAGTGAAGCAAAATTCCAGATCCTTCTGGCCTCACATCATTCTTCTCGCCTATTGTAAGAGCATATTTTGCTGAGTTGTTACAGAGAGACTGCCCAGGCTGTCTGGCTGCACCATCAGAGCAGTGGCAGAGGAGACGAGAGCCCTAGCTGGCCCAGGCACAGGGCCCTTCTTGTCCGTTGTGCGAAGTTGCCACAGCCCAGAAGGAACCTGGGACCTGCAGTAAAAACACTCAGTCTTGGGCCCTTTTGCTGCTGTTTCCCTCCTGCATGATCTTAGGCTACACTGGTATTATCCTTGTCTTTCCAGCTGGTAGAAGGGGCTGGCAATGGCTGCTTCTCAAAGGTGGTATGCAGGTGAAATAAGACAACGCTGATGAAAGCAAAGCAGTTGCTGATATGATGCTCAGATTGGAAACTTGCAGATTAGACTGCTTGGCCTTACTTTCTCACTTCTCTGCCTGACAAGAGAAATAAGGAAGGTGTGGTGGGGTTTCTGTCTGTGCAGGGCTTCTCATTCCCAGTAACCATCTCTGTCCCTACCCCTCCTGCTCACTGCTGGTTATCTTGCCTGGCTTGGCTCAAAGAGGCAGGGGAAAGAAGGCAGCAGTTGGGCTCCAGGAGAGGAAATCTAGCTTCCTCCCTGACCCTTCCCTGCGTTTCTCTAGATCCCACAGCCCACTGGGCATTTGGGATGGAGGTGGAGAGGTCACAGAGGAGAAAAGGAGCTGAAAGAATCCACACACAGGCTGCAGACAGGGCGGTGGAGGCAAAACGAGAGCAAGCACCTCTCAGAGCAAGGCTAGCAAAGTTAAAGTCTTGGTGTCAGAGGTGAACAGTCCCAAAAGAGGTTAGGAGAGAAGAGTGCGTCCTTGGGTAAAACACCATGAAGAAGGTGAGCCAAAGGCTACCCTCTCTCTCTCTTCGCATTTCATATTCCTGACCTTTATGTAATCAATACCTTTAAGCACCTATAACGTATCAGCCCATTATCTTCCATTCACTATACAGTCTATGTTTACAGCACATCGAAAGTTAGTATTGTAACTGTCATATTTTGATGTGGGAACTGAGGTGTACAGTGTGCAGAGACTTGCCTAGGGTTAGATACTGTTACAGAGGGAGCACCTCCATTGCCCCTTCCCTTTTGTCTCTGCTTTCCCATTTCACTGAACTGTGGAGGGGAGCCGTGCATTTTATCGGCCTGCATCACATTGCACACATTTTTTAGTCTCTGTAGGCACATGCAGGAGGCATGTGGGAATCCTGCTCGGTGAGTTGTGCTACTGCTGTTTTGAGTGGCCAACTGCATTTTTGCTGGTGAGTTCTGGTTCCAGGAGAACAGGAAAGGAAGGCTACACATGCAGAGCGTGGGAGGCCAGTCCCATGGTGTAAAGGCTGCTCCTTGAACAAACTATTGGGAAATGGGTTTTGACGGAACTTTACTTCTCCGGGGCCCCTGGGTTTTTCCATGACTCTTTGATTTCCAAAGCATAATGCATTTGTCTTTCTTCTTTCAAAAAATAGGAATTAATGTTTGTTCAGCACACACTATGTGCAGGCTTGGTGCGCAGCACTGTGCATGTGTGACATTATATGGTCCTCACAATTTCATCTTTATTCAGCCCCAGAGACAGCCTCAGAAATGCCAGGTGACTCAACATGGAACTTGTGGTGTGTGCGGAGAGAGTTGGGGTTCTGCCCAATAATAGGCCAAATTGACATTTAAAAGTTGTCTTATTTATCAATAAAGTTGTAAATTGTCTGATTCATGGGCCAGGATGCTGATGGGTCCTGCCTCTCTCTGTCACCACCCTTTTTTTTTTTTTTTAAGGAAAAAGTGTTTTATTTTCTTATCTTCGAGAAACTTTCACTGCTCTGCCCCAAAGATGAGAAATCTCCATGCCAGGTCATCTGTGATTGTCACAAGGGTACAGCACAACCACTCTTTTCTCTTGCTCTTTTGATTTTTCTCTTCTTTTTCTCAGGTATCTGGCTTCCTTTCAGTATTCTTTCCACTGTCCTACCCCCTTCCCCATCACTACTCCATGTGCCCGCAGAGGTGGCACTAGCAGTGACAAGGAAGGAGTAGTTGCGCTCTCCTCCTATATGCAGCAACCTATATGGGCTGAATGCGCCCACAGTTGGAGAGACCTGGTGGGTATGGAATCGAGAAGGACTTCTGAGATTTGGAATCAGGGAGGGATACCAGGTAGAATGAATTCTTAGCATGGGCTATGGCAGAGAAATCAATCCTAAGATTGCAGTCACCTCAGCATACTCACTGTATCCCCTTCCCTGAACCCTGATGTTCTTTTTTTTCTTTTCTTTTTTCTTTCTTTTTTTTTTTTTTGCCATTGAGCGTTGGTAATACTACTCTTCCTGAGTCTCCTTTGGCACTCCAGACGGATGCTGTGAGAGTGAAACCAGAGTCTATTTATGGTTTTGTGATAGGGTCTCCACTCAGAGAAGGACTTGGAACAAAGTTAGAAGGTCTGAGTTGTGCTTCACACTTTGCACTGAACTCTCTCTTTTCTCTGGACCTCCTTTTATATAAAAAAATTGTAATACTTCCTTTCTCTATGGTTCCTTTTGACATTAAATGCTATGACTGTTTAAGAGACCATTAGAAACAAGTGTTTGGAGATGAAGAGATCATTTGATATTACAAATTCAGTTGTTCAATGAATATTTGGTGAAGAACTACTATGTGGAAGGCACAGTATCCCAGATAGTTGAAGAAGTTCCAGGGCTCTAAGAAGACCACTGTTAGCTCAATGAGCAATGTTGGGCATATCGATAGGTGCTCCAGCACTTACTGAATGAATAAATTAATTGCAGGCACCTACCTTAAGGAAGTTCTTGGGGTGACCTTAGGGTTGACAGTAATTCCCTGGAGTCTGTGGGAACTGGAAAGGGCGTGTGTAATTGCTAAATTGTTTGTTGAGACACCTGTGGATGGGAGGCTCTGCCCCTACCTGCCCGGTTCTCAAAGGGGCCACTTACTGGGAACAACGATGGCTTCTCATGCCAGGTCTTTTTTCCCAGAGGTGGAGCAGTGCAAATGATGGAACCCAAGGGAAAAAGAAAGAGTGGCCAGAGAAAAATGCCAGTGTTCAAATGACATTTGAGGTTGTATCTGTGTTCCAGCAGCGGAGCTAGACCCCAGCAGGGGTGTCTGACCCCATGAGAACTAACTCCAAAGTCAAAATCATAAGGCTGCAGAGGGTTATAGAAAATGTTGGGTATAGGAGCTGGAAAGTGACTTGGTTTGAAGACTGCGGAACCTTGGATAAACCGCTGAACTTCTCCAAAGCAGCCTCCTCATCTGTCACAAAGACATCAAATGGTAGCATGTGTAAGGTGTCGGGAAGAATCTGTATTGTAGACCTGCTCAATAGTTTTTAGAGTTACTGCGTTATTAGAATCCATGCCCCCATTCTGTGCAACATTAAAAGCCAGCACAAGTATAAACAATAGGAACAGCTAAAAATTGTAGTTTGTTGTGTCTTTTTATATTTTTTCTTTTCTTTTTTTTAAGATTTTTTAATTTATTATTTATTGGAAAGTCAGATATACGGAGAGGAGGAGAGACAGGAAGATCTTCTGTCCAATGATTCACTCCCCAAGTGAGCGCAACTACTCCAAAGTCAGGATCTAGGAACTTCTTCCCGGTAACCCACATGGGTGCAGGGTCCCAAAGCTTTGGGCCATCCCTGCTTTCCCAGGCCACAGGCAGGGAGCTGTATGGGAAGTGGAGCTGCTGGGATTAGAACCGGCGCCCATATGGGATCCCAGGGCGTTCAAGGCAAGGACTTTAGCCACTAGGCCACATTGCTGGGCCCTGTTGTGTCTTAAATACAAATGAAGTAGTGAAGCAAGTCTGAGAAGGTATCAAAGGATTTACCTTTAGCATATGCATTTGCCAACCAGCGAGCGTTTTGACCCTTGGTAGAAAGTTTTGCCCTCTTTCAGACTTTTCTTCTACTCTGAATGGGAATGATTTTCATGTTCTACTTTTTCTATTTCCCTCTGCTAAACCTTTTTTGATTGCCTACTAATGAGCCATGATATGCTTGGTCTCAGGGACACAAGGGTAGGACAAAGTGCCTGTTCCTAAGGTAGGACAGACAATTTTTTTAAAAAAATATATATTTTTTAAATTTGAAAAGCAGAGAGACAGGGAGATCATCTATCTGCTGTACACTGCTCAAATGCCCACAATAGTTGGGCTTAGACCATGCCAAAGCTAGAAGCCCAAAAGTCCATCAGGATCTCCCTTGTAGATGGTGGGGACCCAAGTGCTTGAGCCATCATGTGCCACCTACCAGAGGTAAATAGGAGCAGGAGTATGTATGGGAAGCAAAGCTGGGCCTTGGTAGGCTCTAATATGGGATTTAGGCATCCCAAGCTGTTTACTTGAGTACTGTGTCAAGCACTGGCCCCCAGACCATGAACTTTTGAAATGCCGTTTTAAATTGTCCTAAGGGCAGAGCCCAGCAGACCCCTACCCGTGTCTGGGTAGACAATAGAGACTTATTGTGACTGAGGATAAGTAAGATCTAGCCGAGTAAAAGTATGAAAGGAAGTAGGGAGCTGGCAGGGGCATTCCTGGAAGAAGTTGCATGTGCAAAGGCCAAGAGGTCGTGATGTTGCAGCTAGCTGAGCGTGCCTCTCCACAGCATCGACTTGCTGAAGGCAGAGGGAGGCCTCTGAGAGTTTCAGAAAGGGAGCTGGAGTGATATGATGACATTTGCACTTGGGAAGAAGACTCAGAGTTAAATGTGCCAGGGTGAAATTTCATCATGGAGAGCAGTTGGAGTGAGTTAAGTTTTCCCCCTGCCTCTTTTTCTTCCTTTGCTTGCCCACACAAGTTGAAATACCCTACATAAGCACACCTCCTATAGTATCGGGCACACAGGAAGTGTCCAATTGTTGTGTCTTTCACCTTCCCCCCTTTTAAAATGTAGCTTCTGAAAGAGCTGGCTTGAAGAGCAGGTTAGGGCAAAAATGCTGAGGGTGTGGCTCTGTGTGTGTGTCCTGGCTGCTGTTTGGGGATAGCCCATAGGAAGTTCCCCAGACAGATCAGTCTCAACCAGTCCTCTGGGGTTTCAGGGAGGGCATATGAAGGTCATAATATGACTGCTTCAGGATTCCACCTCTCCCCAGGGTCCTAGTCTTAAAAATTTACCAGACAGAGGCCATTAAGTTAACCTGTCTGGGTCGGCTTCCTCGTTTACCTGTGCAGCCAACCATGCAGGGCTGTTGTAAACAGCAGAAGACTATAGCAAAATACAAATACTGTGAGGCCACTTCAAAGGGTTCATGGAAAATGGAATTGAGCCAAGTTTATTTTGGAATGAAAAGTTTTGAACTTTACATATATGAATGCAGGCTTTTCAGAAAGATCACAGAAATTATGTATCATGGGAAAAAAACTCATGATTTTAGAATGTCTTACAGTAAAATAAAAAATTTTTTAAAATTATTTTAATTTGGAAAGGCAGATCTTCAGAGAGAAGGAGAGAAACATACAGGGATCTTTCATCACTGGCTCATTCCCCAAATACCTGCAATGGTTGTAGTTGAGCTGATCTGAAGCCAGGAGCCTGGAGCTTTTTCTGGGTCTCCCATGTGGGTGCAGGAACCCAAGGACTTGAGCCATCCTCCTCTGCTTTCCTAGGGCACAGCAGGGAGCTGGATGGAAGTGGAGCAGCCAGGACACAAACCAGCACCATATGGGATGCCAGCATGGCAGGCAGCAGCTTAAGGTGTTATGCTGTAACGCTGGCCCCCTAAATTTATTTTTTAATTCCATTTACTACAAATCACTTCATAAACAGGATACATTCATTAATACCTTCTTTGGGTCAAGTCTTGTGCTATGAAGCTGGTATTATTATCCCCATTTTACAAATAAAGAGACTGCAAGCAAGAGGTGTTCATTACTCATCAATGCTTTATAAGTGGTCCTGGCCAGAACTCGGGCATTTTCACTACCCCTGCTTGCTCACCCTTGAAAGCCTTCATCTTGCAGTTGAACCTTTAAAATGATGCTTGTACTGAGCGTGATGGAGGCTTTCCGCTTGCCTCCCAAACTTTACCCCCACCAATCTGAGGTCTTCTCCCATTCCCGCTGGGAAGTGATTGATGGTTTCGTATTACAGTGGTCTGCTGCCTGCCTGATGCATTAGAGAGGTCGGAACTCCTGAGGACAGGGCTTGTGCCTGGGTCATGGGGGTATCCCCATGGCCTGCTGCAGTGGCTGGCACTGGTAAATATTTGCGAATAAACTCCTTTTGTCACTTGCCTGGATTTCCTGCCTAGGCTGGCCTCCTGAAACCTGGGTTCTTAAAGCAAAGGTTAGCCAGGGCTTGCGGCAATCTCCTCCCAGGTTTTTGGGCACGTGCGTCATGAAGGCTCAGCTAGAGGTCAGTGGAGCGGCCTTAGGGGAAGCCCGACCAACACCTGCCTCTCACAGCATGGTCGCTGCCGGATGGACCCAGAGGCCTGCGGTGGCCTGTTCCGTCCTGCCCACTTTCCCCTTGGGACTTGGCGCTGACTGGCTGAGCACGCAGCCCCGGAGTCGCGCGAAGGTTCCTAAGGATCTGCAGGATGCCCCAGGGTGCTCGTAACGTGCCGGGTAGCTCGCGTCCGGCCTACCTGGCTGATCGGTCGGTCGATAGGTGGCCGAAGAACCAGAACAACTTTCGGGCAAGTTGAGCAACCAGCTTCTCTTTCTCGCCCCCGGCAGGAGCTGAGCCAGGGAAAGTGAAGAAACCTGTTTAGGGCCGCTGCAGGGAGGCGTGGGCGTGGCCGTGCCGGGAACCGGGCGGCCGCGCCAGTTTCCTTCGCTCCGGGACCGGATGCTCCGGAGCGGCTCAGGTAGACGCACGGGAGACGCGCGCCCTTGGGCGCACCTGTTTGTCCTTCTGGGAGACGCCGTCTCTGGCAAATAATTCCATGGGGTGGGGGTGGGGGTGTCTGGATCAGCAGTCGCGAGGTGCGCGATTTGGGGTTACTAAATCGGGCAAGCTGGAGGCTGGGCGTCGGGGCGGCGATCTGGCCCTCTGCAGAGAGCTGGCTGGGTCTTTGGCCATCCCGCCCGCAAAGGAAGACTCTGATTCCAGGGGTCCGGCCCAGATCATAGCTAGTAACTGTGCCGCTGGCCGAGCGTCGCAATCTTCAAAACAAAACAAAACTCGTTTCCTCCCTCAGCACTGTGCCTCACGGACCGCGAGGTCGGCGGAAGGAGCCCGAGAGGGAGTCTTGTTACAAAACTTCAGACTGTTCCATCAACTGGCTTTTGTGTTCTTGGCCACGTGACTTGAGCCATTGGGCTAATCAGAATTTTCTCAAAGGGAATGTAGGAAGGACAATCAGTGAAACAGCCTAAGAAGGAACCTGGCACCTCGTAGGTCATCAGTAAAGGGAGACCCCCGCCCCCTTTGCCCAGCGCGCAAATCTCATCCTGCTCTGGGCGCCGACACCCGCTAAAACAGCAGGGCCTGGCAACCGCTGGAGCCTCTTAGGAGCCTCAGTTTGTCTATCCAGTGGTGCACGAGGAAAGATTTCCAAGGTCGTTTTGGGGGGTCGCGCTTCTGTGATCGCGGAAGAGGATTTAAACGCATTCTTTCGTTCACCTATTTGTTTATTCTCAGATTCCTATCCGGCGAAGACCGCCTCTCACTGCCTTCCCAGCCACAGTCCATACAAGGTCAGCTTCCCCGGACTGCGGCTTTGTGTAAATAAAGCCAAGGCCTTCCGCCTGCAGGTCGCCGCAGGTCCCGCCCTTCGCGTGGGGCTGCGGCGGAGGAGGCGGAACCGGGCCAGGCGCAGCTGAGCTTGGCTCGGGAGGCCAAGAGCCGGGCCACACCCCACATTCGCGGGGAGCAGGGATCTCCGGGAAAAGGACGGTGCGGGTGTAGCAGGAGGCACCGCAGACCGCCCACATGCCCACTTGCGTGCACCCTCATCCACTGCCCACCCAACCTGCGCCAGGCCTCCATCAAACCTTTGGGAAGTAAGCAGCACTCCCTGAACTCTGACCCCGGCCATTGTGTGGATGGGAGACACTGATGTTAACCAAGGTCCCACATGAAAAACAAAAACCATGAAACTCGAACCAAAGTGTATGTTTGCAAAGCACAGTCCTTCCCCTACACCATCTGTCCTCTGAGCCTCTCAGGTAGTCACCGAGGAGAATAACACGTCCACACGGAGCACAGGTCACAAGTGAACAGACCCGTGGGAGCGGAAGCAAGACTTTTCCTTGATCCCAATTTGTTGTTAGAATTTGTGGCAAAAGAAGCCATTTTTTCCAGGTGTAACTATTTTTTATTTATTTATTTTTTACAATCTTAACATGGTTAATAAGGGCACAAAGGTTCAAGGGCTTGCCCACAGAAAAGTGGGTAAAACTATTATTTCCACATTCTCTTCTTTTTCTGTATCTGAGGTAAATGGGGAGATAAGGGGAAAAGCCCCACCCAGCCTCCCACCATCCCAGGTCCCCGATGTGGGGCATGCTCCAAGGATCTTCCTCAAGTGGTTTGATAGTTCAACAGTTGTGAACTGCTTCCAATCTTGCCATTCCAAGCATGATAAAGTCGCTGCAGAATCCACACTGATTGACATAGCCCATCTTAGAGTCTCCGTTTGCCCAGTTTTTCACTGCCAACATATGGCTGTGGTAGTTGATTGATTAGTTTTCTGTTGTGGTGCCAGGTATCCTCTGCAGGTTCCGACGGACTGCCATATCCTCCATGTGCACCTGGTTATGCTCTCCACTGCTCTCCACTGCTCCGTCTGAGCCTCTGAGGAGGCTTGGCTCTGGCACTTGTACTCCATGGCAGACCATGGAACCTGCACTTCTCTTCATGGTTGGGGTTCTGAGTCAGGCAGTTCGACTGGGGAGATCCCAAAAGAAACTTTGTCTGAGGTGATCCCAGACCAGATTCTTGTGTGTACTTGTAAGTACAGGGCCTGGTACAGTCCATTGCCCCAATCAATTCATGGTTGCAATTGCTGGGTGGGTTCTGTTTCCAGCAATGTCTTCTACTGGAATCAATGGGTGTTGCATCCTTTAAACTTAGAACGCACAGGTTCTTTTTAAAACTAGGAAAAGGAGAAGACAGTTTTGAGAATTCTTTCAGATGAACATATGAAACCGAAAAGGAAATGTCAGGCTGTCTCCAGATCTCTCCCTGATCGTGCGGGAACAATTCTGGATGCCTGATGGATTGAATCCCAGACCGAACCCCACCGTGTTGTGAGGCAGAGGATCATGTTCCCGACTTGGGGTGCGTTCCTTGCGGTGACTGGGTAGTGGGGCAGCAGAGGATGTCCTGTTAATAATTAGATTTCCGGGGACAGCTAGTACTCATCTTGGTCATTGGGCCAAGTAAGTTGGGACAGCTGGGGTGCGCAGGCGATCCACTGGAGAGCGCCTCAGGTACCCAGCACGCGCTCCAACTCCTGGGTGGGTCACGGAGGGTGGTTCCCGGGGTACTGCCTTGTTGCTGCTTGCGACCTGCTTAGGTCCACACCCCTGCCCCTGATCTCTCAGTCCTTTGCTAACACAACATCCCCCAAGGCCACCCCTTGTCCCAGCAGAAAGTAGGAATGCAGCCTGAGCGTGCGGTTTCAGGTTTCAGGGAGCATTGGCTTTGCCGGTGGAGAGTAAGATTCTTACCCGTGGGTTTCAATTCCCTGCCGGCATTTTCTAACTTAGGGCCCTGAGAAAATTACTTAACCTCTCTCGGTCTCGGTTTCTACGTCTGTAAAATGGGGTTGGCAACACTGACCTCATTTAATTGCTGTGAGGTATAGCTGGGTACCTACCTGTAAAGACTCAAGGCATTTAAAAAACAATTAGATGCCATGTTTTTCTATTATTGTTAGGCACAGGAATCTTAGTTAGGCCAATTAAGAACTGGCTGCCCCGGGCAGGTGTACCTTCTTCAGTCCCTCCACCTGGAAGAAGGAGTTTCCTGACAGTTTGATTGTCAGGGCCCGTGATCGAGATAGGATGGGCTTCTGGCATCTGGTAGGTCCACCAGTGATACTTGTAACTCACCTCTTGGCCTGCCCTGTCTGAAGCATTTTGCACTTATTAACTTAATTCTGCGATGACAGCACAAGAGGGGTGTCACTCATGCCTTGTTTCCTATGTACTCAGAATGTAAGCACTGCCCTAAGCACACACTGCTGCTAAGGAGGATTTGAATCCACAAAACCTAGCTCCCTGCCTTGTGTTCCTAGTCCCTACAGCATGGGGCACTGCCAACAAAGGCTGGGGCTTCTTCTCTGAGTTCACTGGCATTCCTTCCTCTGGTGCAAATATTCCTGCACTTTTGCTTTATTCAGGAAGGCACTTTATACATGGTGGGTGCTCAGCCTGGTCCGTTCCCCTTTTCCTGTGTTTTTGTTTTTTATTTATTTATTCTGGCTCTGATTATGAGTGCTTCCGTGGAGTATGCAGGTGAGGTATTTTAGGTGTTCCCGGTCCTTCATACACAGAAATTTTCCCTTCTGTGTACTTAGCAATCTTTCAGCTAAATAGACTACGGCAGCCCATGCTTAAAGTTTAAACATTCTAATAATGATAATTGCTTCTGCCTCTGAGAATTACTGCCTATGCTGTGGGGTTCCCAGAAATGAGGGTGCATTTACTGCATTTATCACTTAATCATTTCTGAAACAGCTCCTGACTACAGCATCTTTAGCCAAAGCTCCAGAATTCTCCCTCTCACACCCTCCCTACTTGGGGTCCCTGTGATAATTCTTGGCTGTAAAAGGCTGAAGCCATTAAAGACTGTAGATCTTCCTGTGGTGCACATGTAATCTGTACATTACACTCAAGGCTTGAATGCTATGATGATTTTAAGCTTGGCTTTTGCATTTGAAGACGTGGTTTACATGTGCAAAATAAGGGAGTAGGGGGCTGGGGCTGGGGCTCGGGAAGTGTAAAGGTCTGGAACAAAAAAGTGCAGATTTCCAGAGTAATAAAAGGTAGTTTTAAATTTAAAAAAAATTCTGAACCCTGTGTGTTTTCAGACAGAATACCCTGTGTTTCCCTTATTCATTCTGGTTGTGGTCTGAGGGTCAAAACTTTGTGGAGGGGCCTCACGCCATAACCTAGCAGCTAAAGTCCTTTCCTTGAACATGCCTGGATCCCATATGGGCACAGGTTCTAATTCCAGCAGCCTTGCTTCCCATCTAGCTCCCTGCTTGTGGCCTGGGAAAGCAGTTGAGGGTGGCCCTAGGCCTTGGGGCCCTGCACTTGCGTGGGAGACCTGGAAGAAGCGCCAGGCTCCTGGCTTCAGATTGGCTCAGCTCTGGCCATTGCGGCTGCTTGGGGAATGAATCAGAGGATGGAAACTCTTCCTGTTTCTCTTCCTCTCTGTACATCTGACTTTCCAATAAAAATAAAATAAATCTTAAAAAAAAACTCTGTGGGGTGATTCAGTGAACATTGACAGCAGAGTGTTACATCTGTAGTTTTTCTCTGTAGAGACTGGAGAGCTCCCTACTTGGGGTGGTTATTCACAGGGATGCTGTTATGATTAGGGACTGAGACAGGAGACAATCCTTGAAGACTTAACATTCGGCTGACATCTACTAGGTGCCAGTTGCTTGCAAGTACATTTCCAATCAACCTCAGAGGAAGCCCCTGGGGAAGATACTGTGCTGAAGCCAACACCCAACAAGTCAGCTAACTTGTTCAGGAAGCAAGGGGGCAGGTCTGGATTGCAGTTCAGATCCAACTCAAAGTTCATGGTCGAATTCACTGCACTGCTCTGATGTCCCTAAATGCCACAGAGTTCTATCACCAGATAGCTGCAAGGGAAAATCACAAAGAACCTCAGGATGAGCTGCCTGGCTTTCTCTGCTTCCCCCCACCCCCCAATCCTCACAGCCTTTTTGAGTGAGTTTCAAATACAAAAGAAATTCGATTTTTAAAAAAAGGGGGTGGGGTTGGACAGGGACTAACATTGTGGCACAGTGGGTTAAGCTGCTTGGAAGGCCCACATCCCATCTGGGAGCACTGCTTTGCTTTTGATCCAGGTCCCTGCTAATGTACATGGGAAGGTGATAATTAATGGTCTCCTGGTCAACAGTCTTGGGGCTTCTTCTAGGTAGCTTTTCTGGCCTCTTCCCTATATCCAAAAGGAGGAGTTGATTGTCTTGCACATCTGTCTGCACAGAATTATCTGCAGAGCTTGCTAACACTAAGACTGTTATAAGCCTCTGTCTTCTAAAACTTCTGTGCATTTGCTTATTTATTTGAACGAGAAAGAGAGTACCTCTTATCTGCTGATTTACAGCTGTGGCTCAGCCAGGCTCAAGTTCGGAGCCTAGAACTCAGGCCTGGTCTCTGGTGTATGTGGCAGAGGTTCAGCTAGTTGAGTCATCATCTGCTGCCTCCAGGTGTGCATTAGCAGGAGCTGGCTTCTAGACCAGAGCTGAGAGTTGAACCCAGGCACCTTGACCTGGGATGTGTATATCCCTCAAGTTGTAAGTCTTTGCTCAGGCTGTAAATGCTCGCAAAAAGCTATCTTTTAGTGAAGTAATAGGGAACCACTAGGGGTTTTTGAGGTAAAGGGTTTCTTGATCCACAGATAACATGAAGACTTGCTAATGGGACTGAAGTTGCAGATGTATCAGTTTCTGTTGTCCTTGTAGTTTCCCTGGAAAGGATTTATTCCATAAATGAGAGCCCAGGCAAGTGTAAATTTGTTCCTTCATTCTTTGTTTATTCAAAACGTATTGCAAGGCTACTATTCCCCTGTTGCTGTTTTGGGCACCATGAATATGGCAATGAATTAGGCAGAAATAATTTCTCTTTTTATGGAACTTAAATTTTCCTGGAGAAAAAACAACAGTAAATAAGTAAATAATAAATATATTAGTTGAGATAGCAATAGCTATCATGAAGGGCTAAAGTACAGACTGACAGACAGAATGGGCGGTGGACCGATCTCTTAGATAAGGCAGTTGGGATAGGGTCTTGAAGCAATGGCATTCGGCACAGCCCTGGTGGCTGTGGAGGAGGTGGGGAGACCTAGTGGAGACCTGGAGAACTGCAGTGCAAAGGCCCTGAGGAGGGACCACACCAGACGTGTGAGAGGAGCAGCAAGATGACTGAAGAGACGACATGGACAAGGGCCGAGGTGGGTTCTAGGGTGTTCCTTCCAGCAGGTACTGGGATGTAAGGACACTTTGGGGTGTGGGATATAATCAGCCATGGCAGCGCAATGCAGTTGTGCATGGTAGAAGAAATGAATGGATGAGTGAAATGTGGACTATGAGCCAGGACATTTTCATTGCTGTTAGGTACAAAATCAAGAACTGCAGAGTAAAATATAAGAATAATATAATCTTTGAAATGTATTTAAATGATCCAAATAGAATGAAGTTATTATTTCCAAGTTGAAAATAGGAGGTATTTTAGTCCCTTTCTTTAAAAGGGACCTGCCAGATTCATCCCAAGATGATTTCCACTAAAATGGACAAGTTACTTTCATCATAGCTGGAGGGATGTCAAGACAGTGTAGAAAGTAGCATCGACTTGATCTTGCTGAGGGATTTGGGAGTCTGTGTTACACTGCAAGGTCATCTCCACCCAAAGCTAAAAGCACCTGTCCATCCTCCCACAGAAGAGCTGCTGGCACTGGCAGCCTTACCAGTTCTTCCCACCACCCCCACCACCCATCCCACTCCACAGACAGTAAAGAGAACCCTTCAGACTTCTAGAGGGAACAAGGGCATTGTCTGAAGTGGAGGCAGACTCAAAGGGAAGAATGATCTGCTCCTTTTGTCTACACTACTTAGGGGAATGTTGCACTCATTATACCATAATTATAGGGCCAGAGAGATTAAGGGAGAGCCACAGTCCTAGGCCTCTTAGGGTGCTGAAACCTCTTAATTCTGTTCTTACTCAGCCTCGAGGGTAGATAAACACACCAGTTACTTGGAAAGAGCAGGAGCACAGTGTAGAGGCAGAATGATGTGGAGTCATATTCTGCCTTGTTTATCAACTCTGCAAAAACTATGTGATCTTCTACTATTGCCTAACCTCTCAACCTCAACATTTTCTCCAAGAACACCTCAAAGTTCCCAGACCACAACTTTACCCAACACACTGCCTTGTCTTTCTGGGCCCTGCCTGGGTGCCTGCAAGAACCCTAAGACAGTGAAGATGACCGCTTGTGTCTTCCAGGAGCACACCAGGTCAGGCTGGACAAGGCATAATTGATATTCTGGATTTGCAAGTCAGTCAGCCTCTCCTTTGCTTGTTTTAGTCCTTGTAATTATAGAGCACTGATGCAGAAATCTGGGCTTTTGTTTACAAGGGAGTGATCTTACACTTTTCTTTAGCTCCTGAGGGGAACTTTGAAAAAGGGTGGAGGAAAAAAGACGTGTATAACCCACGTTTGTTCATGGGATAGTTGTGTTGGAGACTGGAAGTGGTGATTCTCTGCAGACTTGAGTGTCTGAGGAAGTTAGCTTTTAATATCAAGAGTTGGCAGTGGTGTCGGGGCTTCTTAAGACGGACCCACTCCCAAGTGCTTGACAAGCAGGCCCAAGTTTGTTGCAGAGTGGATAAGTGAATGATTTGCTCTGTGCTACAGATGGAGAGGAAGAGTGTATGCTCCTCTGAGCACCTGAGTTCTAGTTCAGTTCCTCCACTTGAGTGCGTGCCTCCCCACTGGGGAGGGTCATACTTGCCTTGGCTACCTCTTCGGTTGTTTGAAGACTCAGACACTGTGCAGTGCTATGCTGCTCTGCTATATGTGATAATGCATTGGGGAGGAATGGCAAAGTAATGATAGATTCTGCAGCCATCCAGTGTGATCTCTGGAGAATCCTGGAACTCCAGTAAAACCTCAGATTTTTAAAAATCAGTAGATTGAGATTATCCCTGCTCTACCACCTCATAGGATTCAATGAGATCGTGGAAGAGAAAGCAGCTTGTAACTGACTGGGCTCCCAAAGAAACTAAGAACTGGGATTCTTAGTTTCCTTTTCCTTGTCCTCTTGCTTATCATTTGGTTTACTGGTCCTTGGAAAGACCTCATGGCTGACTTGCTCACTCGCTCCTCAACAGGTTGCTACTGTGGCCAGAGACACCTTCACTCAAATCCTGTACTCTGCTAATGGTGTGACCTTGGGTGAGTCACTTAACCTTTCTGAGCTCCCAGAACAATGAGAGCTCAGAGGTGTTGGTGATAAGCAGGAGAGCATGTGTCTCCTATTTGCAACAGCATCTGGTATGAGTCTGCTCTGTGTTAACTGCTTCTCTTGTCAACTCTCCTAAGATTCCTTTGGATCTTGAGGCAGACCAACCAAGATGTTAAGGCAGGTCTTAAACAGACTGACCAACCGTCTGTTTTATTCCTGAAACTACTAATCATGTGCTAAGCTGACTCATGCTGAGTTGCCCGAGTTGCTTTCTCCAGTAGGATGTGCATTCCTTAAGGAAAAGAAGTGTGGCTGTGTGGCTTGCTATTCTAGCCCCCTGTACTGAGTGGATGTGCTGTTGTTGTCATAGCCAAGTGGTTCAGTGGGAGCCAGGAGAAGAAGCAAAGGCTCTGAGCTAACTTGTTGTTTGTTTGTTTGTTTTTGTTTTTTAGTATTTATTTGAAAGGCAAAGCATCAGAGAGCAAGAGAGAAAGAGTGATAGAGCTTCAGGCTACTTGGTCACTCCCCAGATGGCCACAAAAACCTGGCTGGGCCTGGCTGAAGCCAGGAACTCAGAATCCATCCTGACCCCACACAGGGTAGCAGGGGCTCAAGCACTTGGGCCATCATTTCCTGTCATCTGGCAGGGAGTTATATTGGAAGCAGAATAGCTGGGACCTGAACTGGCACTCAGATAGGGGTTGCTGTTGTTTCAAGTGACAGTTAAGTAATTGCACCACAATGCCAGCACCTTCCTGATCTGGGTTTGAACTTCCCTGTACTGCTTCCTCATGGTAGGAGCCAGGGATGAATCACACAACAACTCTGACACTCAATTTCTTCATCTGTCAAATAACAAACTAGAAATGCATAAGATATGCTTGTTCAGGGTTGTTGGGAAGAGTGGAGTGAGTGTTTGCAAAATGGATGGCATGGTTTTTGGTGCACAGTAGGCCTTAGTAACTGTAGCAGAGGAACTAGAAAGTGGCCATAGAATTGCCATATCAAGTGCTGGGAGGATGAAGTAGAAATTGTTATTTTAATTACCTGTGCATGGTGAAAATAATAGGAAAAAGACTGACAGTAAATTTTATTTTCTATTTTTTAGTTGGTAACAGACAGTGTTCCCTACTCACACGGTGTCTGCTTCTTCCCTCCTTGGCTCAGCCCTGGCTCACAGATAGGGGTGAGGATGACACAGGACAGCCCTTAGGGGTTGGGGAGGGGTGCTGTGGTGACATGGCAGCCAGCGAGGTGCCTGCAAGTTGGATGGGCTCATGGCTCTGGAGGAGCACTGAAGTCAAAGCCCTTCCCACCCCGTCCCCTTCCCAGTGTGGTGTCAGGGTCGGAGGTTGGAGACAACAGCACTGCCGGAGGGAGGCTCAGAGAGGATGGACTTTTCAGGCCAGTTTTGCAGGAGAATCCCAAACACGGAAGTGGAGGAAGGGGCCTGCGGGGCACAGAGACTTCTACCATATGCTGCATTCTAGAATCCTCTAAGAGGGGTTTAATTGGAGCAAGACCAACAGGGCATTCACAGCATTTAAACGTCTGTCTGGGAATCTCTTCAAATCCCCACTTTCTAGCAGGACCT